TTCTAATTGGCAGTTTTTTCACAGCGTGGTCCAGTTCCTTCCCAGGTACGAGGCCGGTCCACCAGTCTCCCCACGAAGCTCAGCTTTGCATAGTAGTAGGCCAGCATAGTGGGGCATACTCACACTGGGGCTCTGCTTGAGTGCATCTGTTTTACGAAGTGCACCACTTGCTTCAAAGGGACTTCCATCTATCAATTTCACCTCACACTACCTACCTACCACTACTCCTAATTGTAGGCATACGGGGAACCCCGTAGCAGCCAGAACCGTGCTCACGAGAAAACATGCGGGGGCTGCTCCAGACCTGCAGGTGGGCGATACCGGCTGATGCTACCGGCTAGCCCGTATCGCCCACCTGCAGGTCGGGAGCAGCCCCCGCATGTTCTCTCGTGACCACAGTTCTGGCTGCTATGGGGTTCCCCGTATGCCTACAATTAGGAGTAGTGGTAGGTAGGTAGTGTGAGGTGAAATTGAGAGAAGAACATAGTTTTTAAATAAAAAAAAAGGGGCTTCCTTTGTTTCTTTGCTTTTTTTAAAACCACCAGTACTTTTCTCATATGTGGGGCCGCGGGTCTCAAATTCAAATTTGGCTGCCACGCATCCTCCATGAAAAATATCTACGGCGGCGTGGCAACCATTTTTCAGGAGTAGGCTAGTAGATGCCCGTGGCCTACATATGGGAAAGGTACTGGTGGTGTAAAGGCTAATTCTTTAAGCCCCTTTCAGGCCTTTTCAGGCCTTTTTTATTGTCATTATAGTATTACGGGAGAGCCCGTGGCAGCCACATCCGTGCTCAAGCCTCCAACGAGGGAATATGCGGGAGCTGCACACACCAGCAGGTGTGGTATCTGCTACAGCAGATGGGTTATTTCGGGCAGGGGTCACTGTGTCTGTGCCTCCCCTCCGGTCCCCTGCCCAGTCTCTGCTCAACGCCACCAGGGGGGCGCCAATGACATATCTCTAGGTAACGGGTGCCAAGCTTGCCCAGAAAGGTACATGAGACCAATGGGGATTGAACCTAAGGCCTCCTGAATATCACTTGCATGCCTTACCAACTGGGCTGCCCTTCCCTTCTGGCAAGCCTGTTTTTTTTTTTTTTTTTTTTTTTTTTTTTTTTTTTTTTTTTGGAAAGTTGTGTGATATATTGCAAAAGAACTATGGAACGAGGCCGGGGACCTCACAATTCAACCCAGAGTAATCTGGTAGCCTCACCCAGTTTCGCTTACGAGCTCAGCTTGAGGGCATCAGACCAGCACTAACCAACCAATCTATAAAAGGCCTGCTGGAAACCGGGTCCAGCGTGTGACGTGCAACCTCACGCCCTGTGCTGTCTTCCGTTCGGAGTGCTAAGGGTGCGGAAAAAGGGCCCGGGAGAACAACAAGATGGGGTGTGCCAAGGATTTTTCGAAAATTGAGTGTGGGGACACAGACAAAACTGAAATCCCCCGTGTTGGTCCGATGAAGTAAGTCGGTTGCTTTCGCGTGTTGCGGAATGCGCACACGGGCACGACGCGAAAAGAGAAAAATCCAAATTCGATCTAAAAAGTATTGTCGAACTTCCCACCGCGCTACGGCTCTTCGTTTAAAGCAAAAGGGCTTCGGTACACTCCGCGTGTCCCGTTTCCGTATCAAGTCCCGACGTCGCTTGTTGGTCAGTTCCGAGTCTGACGTGGAGGGTCTCAGCCGCGTGGCTTTTTCCTTGTGCTCGTCTTCACTCCGTATTCAGTAGTGGAAACCCTTTGCTTCGTAGCGATCGAGACGCTGGCACTCAGTGCACAAGGTTCGAGGCCAATGGGGCGCCACTGCTGTCCACGGAATGACGATCAGCTCGTTAAATGGCAACAACACTAAGTAAGGCGGGAAGTGCGTATTGATAATGACAAAACCCGCGTCCACGAATCCGGAACAACGATTTTCGGGAAGGAAGTAATATCGTCCGCCGATCTGTGCGACAACTTTACGTACGTCCCACTTGCAAACACGGGTCCTTTCCTCGTTGTAAGGGAAGGGGCGCATTGGCGTGGGGGACACGGGAGGTTGGCGCCTAATCGAGGTGCGGCCGTCAGTCCACATATCAATTAATCGAAATGAGTTTGCAAAAACCCCGAGACGTCATCAAAAGGCACGATCGAAGAAACCGACTATTTTCCTTCCTTTCGCCGCGAGAGAAGCATGTTACAGAACTCGTACAACCATGTAGGAATCCGGTTAAAGTTTCAAGGGACCAACCCACGACTCAGGTTCAGCAAGCCAGGTTGTCGTAAACCCGAGGCGCCTTGCTCTTTCGAGGCTGCCTCATAGACTCGTTGCGGATGTCGTGCAGTATAAGACACATGGCATGCGCAGTGCAATTCAGAACGACAGATCTAAACACTCTTGCATTCTCGAACAAGATCCCGTCGAGTTCTGGGTCTGATCAACGCAAAAATTCACATACAAGCATTTCTATGCATACATCCACTGTGGAAGGAACGAAAATGACAATGGTGAACAAATCATAAATAAATCGCGGGATTGTACACACGCATCCACCGTTCACAAGGCAAGATGATTGAGTTCCTTTGCATTCGGGGATTACGCAGGAAACTAATGGAAGAGTTCCGGAAGAAGTTCTTCTTTGGAGGAAATCACAAGGGTTCACCTCGGTTCACATGAGAGACAGACTCATAACACAGCGTCATTCAGATCAAAGAGAGAAAGAGAAGAGATGGGTGAGAAGTGTCGAGACAGGAGACACTGGAATCCGACAAGGGAACGTTCGGCTTCAAAGTCATGAACTCACACAAAAAAAATGATCCGCAACCATGAAGGCGCATTCGCCTTGAAATTCCAATATGGCCCTGGGCCAATCATCCACTCAACTCCAATTACCGATCCTCATACCCGCACCGACGATCCCGGCCGTCCGGTGCTAACTTCCACCACTGCGATCGTCACCCCGCTGACGCAAGCTTGACTCGGCTCGCCCGGATCCCACAGTCTGTCGTGGCGATCAAGCGCGCAACCGGTCAGCCTACAGTCAGCCCGTCAGGACTTTTTGACTCACACAAAACGCATCACCTAGCCATTGCTTCCCGGAAGCTAGCTGGGGAGTTGAAAACGTAAGAGAGATCTGCGGGCGCGCTTGCAGAATTTATAATTGCGAGAAAGAAGACAGACAGGGAACAGACGGGGAAGAAGACAGAGGGGAAGTCGAGGTGTAAGAGGAGAAGATTCCGCAAGGGGTGCTCAAGGGAACCATGTTGATCCTTCGGAACCCAATGTTCGACCAATCAGATTCGTCGCGCAATAGGAAGATCCTCTTACTCAACGCGTCAGATTGGTGAGCGGGGGTAATCGAAGGATCAACCGGGCTTCGCGAGCCAAGGTTGAAGAGCGAGAAGGAAAGAGGCGCGAGAAGCAGCGCGAGACGGGTCCTAGATTTAGATGATCAAGAAAGGAAAAACAGGCACGCAAAGAGCAGAAAGAGGGAAAACAGTTGCGATAGGAGAAGAAGAGGAGGGGGAAGGGAGAGAGAAGAGAGCACGGGGGAAGAACGACGTGGGAAATAAGGAGGAGGAAGCTCGCATACGCGGCGCCGACAACAAGAGAAAAAGGCACCAAAACAGTTACAGTTTGCCTACGTCCTAAACTAATTCAAAAATTGAAATCACCATATCCGCGCGCGAAAGTCGACGCGAGAAAAGAAAGTCCTATGCCTATCCGTATTCTCACAAAATTCCTAGAGTTTTCTCCGACGTGACTAAGAGCATTCATGCACAAAAAAAGGACACGTCGGGTTTCACTTATTCTGGAATTCCTAACTGTCGAGCCCGATTCCTTGTGCGCTCGCTAAGACGCACGCAATTTCCCATGCATTTCCCGAATTACAAAAAGCAGAATTCCAAGAATCAATAGAACCTCCGAAAAAATGGGGGCCTGAACAAGGCACATGAAATCAAGAAAAGCGAAGGGGGTTTTGTTGGGGCATTATGATACAAAAGAGGGAATTGAATCAAGGGGTACAAAAGATAAAACGGGGTCGGGAAGTGGTTCATCACATATGTGATGCTTAGGGGGTTCCAAAACTATGCGATCTCCTGATTGCATGAAATCTCGAACAAAGGAAGTGAGAGGAAACGAAGAAGAAGGAAGAGGAGAAACTTAGATCAGCACAATCCATGTCAGCAGAGAAAACTGAGCCGGGATGTGAGTGGGCGACAACATCAGTGGCAAGATCTTGGATCTCATCCTCTGTAGTCCTGTAATACGCAACCCCCTACCCTTTAAACTTCGGAGATCGTCCAGGTGGCACCATCATGGTCCATCAGGTCTCTGTGTGCTCTGCACTCCCAGTCCAGCGCAATCCGTCGAATCAGAGCATGTGTTGACGTTATCATCAATGGCGTGATCTTCGTGAGACCGCTGATTCGTGTTGCTCGGGGGACACGCGGCGATCTCTCCAGTCGATCGCCACAGAGAGACTTCCATATGCCACTTACCGTGAAAACGAGTGTGGATGTCATCCAGTGTGGCAAGCCTAACCACCTAATCCCTCAGAACGGTCACTGACAAGAAGAGGATGGGATGCGCCACCGTCGTGACACGTGGCGGGTATCAGTGCCGCGTGGGAATGGGAAAGTAGACATTGTACATGGGGGGGTGCCGATGGGGAGGATTGGGAGGAAGTGGGGGCAAATAGTGGTCAATCCCTTCCACTGTCACTGGAAGCTCCTCGTAGCGGATGATCTGGTGAAAGCGGGGAAATCGGTCGCCATTGTGAGGGAGGGAGGTCAGGTAGTCGAGGTAGAGAGTGGAGAAAGTGCGAAAGAGCGCCGCGCGAAATAGTTCGTGATTGCGGCATGCGGGGATGGTTCATGTGATCACGCAGTACTGCGTTGCTATGCTCCCACGCCGCACTAAGCAAAAGGACATGCAAACGGAAGATGGGAGTTGCGCATTGAAGGGAAGGATGGGGATGGACGGTGACGGCGAGGCGGGTGGAGTAGAAGTGGTGGAAGGTATTGGGAGGGAAGGGGTTGCGAGTGAAGATGACGGGGGTAGAGATTTGACAGAGGGTGAGGTAATCAAGGGGACGGTGGGATAATGACCGGGGACGAAGGCCGATCCCCCGCATCGGTACGTGGACGAACTGGGGGACGGGCTGAGGTGGAGGGGGAGGGGGATCGGCTCCGTCTCCGTCGCGATGCGCTCGGAGTCGTGGCCGCAGGGTCACCATCTTCGGGCTTGGGGGGCTCAGGATCCCGAGTCGGGTCGTCGTTGATGCGCAGGTTCGCCCCGCTGGCGAACTCCAGCTGCCTTTTCCCGGTGGCGATCTCTTCCCTCTTACGTGCTGCCTGGGGATCTTCCGCCTCGAGGCCTGTGCGCGCCGCTTCTTCCGGCAAGGCTTCCCACTCCGATCCAGCTTCCTCCTCTTTGTCGTCTTCGTCCTCCTCCTCCTCTACACTCTGCTCCCCTTCACTGTGCTCACTATAACTCCCCTCCCCTGACGTTTCTTCTTCGGCGTCGCCTTCTTCTTCTTCTTCAACCGCCTCCTCAAACGTATCTTGCTTCGGATAGAAGGCAAGATTGATGACTTCGTTCGGCTTCAAGTACTCCTGCTGCGACGGCAAGGCATTTTCACTTCCTAGTTCCTCCAAGCACGCAGTCCACTGAAGATATGGGGCCAAGGTCCGAGTAAGGACGTGCGGAGCCAAACTCTCATCACTTTGCGAACCGACGTCAAGAGAGAGGTCGTCGACCAGCTGCGCGAGCGGGATGACAAGTTCCTGGACAATTAGCTGGTGATGGCCCGGCTGCACCGATCCGAAAAGACAACTGAGAAGATCGCCCGCTACGTCAGTTCTCCAAGCCTGGATAATCAACAACTCCAGGTACTCAATCCAAGCCTGATGCTCGTCGGTCCGCGTGCATGTCACCGTCACTCAGGCCAAGCACATAGAAAGATCAAGAAAAATATCGTGCCACGCCCACCAATGACTGGGATCGAGGAGCGCGACTGCAAGGGGATCGAGCAATAAAGAAAGACGAGGATGAAGATCGGATTGCCTGAAGGTGGGGAAGAGAGAGGGAAGGACGAAGGTAGAAAGAGGGGCGAGAGGAGCGGCGCGGTTCATTGGGGGCGTTGGAAGGAGATGAGGGTGGGGAGCGCCACTGCCGGCTGGCGCATAGAGGTGCGGATCCCGTCGAAGTCAGTCCCGTCCGTCGGGACTAGGTCGTACCCGGGGCGCGCAAAACGGTGATGCCACTCAGCCGATAACTGTTGCGACCACTCTCGTAAGGAGGTGAGGATCACGGTATGCCGAAGCGGGCTGACTACGCTGATATCGCCGTTGAAGGCAGCGACCGTGGTGACGTGGCTCGTTCCTGGAGACAACCATCGATTGTCTGTCACCACCTCTGCCAATACTACTGCCTGCGGACTTCCTGCAAATCGGAACGCAGCGGCGGCACACACACCCTCGGTGCAGAATAACTGTGCCAGTCGTTGTAGATCAAGACTGAGCCGCGGATGACGAACTTACCGGATCTCCAAGATATAGCCACGTGGCTGCAACAGATGATTGCCAAGGGCTTGCTCCGTGAGGAAACTCATCGCGAGGACGGGGAAGAAGATGAGAGATGGGAACAAGAGGGAGAGAACGAGGCGGGGGCTAGATCGTCGTCGTCCTCTTCTTCAGTGGAGGAGGGAGACGGAGGGAGATCAGAAGGAGGGAGGGGACGAATATAAGAGGTATGGCGGACGATGGGGACAGAGCTATGGCTGGCGCTGGCTTCGGGCACAATGCGCACCGTGTTGGCACCGTTAGGTCCGAGCTCGACAATGCGGAAACAGCCAGAGAAATTGGGAGCGAAGTTCCGGTCGCGTGCACATTTACGTACCTGCACCAGGTCCCCTAATTTATATTGACGTTGGGGACCGGCGTTCCCATTTCGGGCCTCGTAGCTACGGACTTGCCTCTCGTGGGCTAGATCAGTCACTTTCTGTCTCTTTCGGGCTAGCTTCGGGATGACCTTTTCCATTAAATCGGAGTACCTTTTGGCCTTGGCCTTAAGGGCAGCACACGTGTCTCTACCCCCGGCTTCGACAATTTCCGAGTTGCCCCGATAATCGACACATGGGAGGCTATTGGTGCGAAGCTGAAAGGGGGTGAACCCCATGGATTCGTGAGGGGTGGCCCGGTGAATTCCGACGATTTGGTATACGATATCGGGCCACAGACGCATGTCATGCGCCGCTAGATTTCTACGAAGGGCAGTCTTTTTCATGCGATTGGCATTTTCGGCCAACCCATTCGACTAGGAAACGTGGGGTGCCGTGTGTGGAAGTGTAATGCCTCGGCGCGCGAGCATTTCCTCTACCTCGCCTTTGAATTCGGACCCGTTGTCGGTTAGAATCTCTTCCGTATCTCGATGGGTATAGAGGAACCGATCGATGTACATGGCTATCTTTGTAGCCTTACGGGTTTTGCAGGGGTAGACCTTGATGTATTTGGAAAAATGGTCTATTAACACTAAACGGATGGAATATTAGCAACGGTTCGGGCCAGGTGGCACCTCGATATCTGTCGTGTCCATACTGACTCGCTGGAAAGGGCGCTCTACTTCCATCGACACTATCGTGTTTGGTCCCCGTATTGGGGCACGGTCGGCGACACAGACCAGACAGTTGGCGACCACGTATCTGACATCGTCCCGTATATTAGACTAGAACCATCGATTCTGATCTATAGTCGCTTCAGTGATACGTATCGCGAAGTGAGCGGCCTGCTCTTCGTGAGCAAATCGGGTCCAATCATATCTCTGGAATGGATGGGGAACCGTCAACCACAAACCCGATCCGTCAGTCTTACACTTTTCTAGGTGACCGTTGATCCATCAGTAATCCCGGGATCTCTCGGTAGCCCGACGTCTGTCGTGCTTAGTAAGATGATCCAATGGTAAACCGACCAATTTAGCCAATAGAATTTTATTCGTCCGGACCTCCGCTCGTCGGTATTTCTCGTCATATTCTGGGCCGTCCTAGCCGCCTCGAATCGAACCTCGGTGGGGAGTTTGTCCGTTCTAGACAGAGGGCACTTCCATACCTTACTACTTGTTCGATATCGAATGCATCCACCGTGCGCACGATTGACACACGTGGCACATCTCACCCAATCAATGAATCCGGTCTCAAAAGGATGACAGACCACCCCATAAACCTGTGTAATACACGTACAAAAATAGCAGAATTTATCAAGAAGGGTGGTAAAGAAGGCCGAGGAGGTGAGAGGGGCGGAATTGGCAGGGGAAGAAGGGGTTGCAGAGACAGGTGGGGTAGCCATAATGAGAGGGGAAGAGAGAGAGAGAGAGCAGGGCTGCAGCGAGGGTGAAGCAAAGGCCCCGTGTCACTCACTCCTTCGATAGAATTTCCACGTGCCAGTACCGCTGTCCATTCTCATCCTTCGGCTCGTTCCACGGAGTCACCTCCTCGCTCTTGGGGACCTTCTCGGGTCGGTGCAGTCATGTGAACCCGTCAGCATTCCTGTGCCTCTCGTGCTTCCGATGACGAACGTCAAAGTCTATGCTCTGTAGTACCTCTGCCCATCTCCCGATCATGCCCGAGTAATCCTTAGATTTCTTCAGGGCTAATAATGACTCATGATCGGTCACCAGTGTGAACTTCCGCCCATACAGATAGGCTCGAAAGTGACTGATTCCCCATAGAGCCGCATAGCATTCTCCTGTCGGGGCTGCGTAATTGCGCTTGCAGGCAGGCACTGACTTAGACGCGTATTCCACAACGTATTTGAGCGCGCCCGGTCCCACCAGGGCCAAGATCGCTAAGATTGCCTCCGACTGCCAGTCCGTGATGAGGACAAAAGGCTTTTCGGGATCCGGCCTTATAAGGACCGGAGCCAAAATAAGAGATGCCTTGAGTTTCAAAAACGCTTGATCACACTCTGACATCCAAATCAACGGTTGATCCTTTTTCAGCAGATTCGTGAGGGGACCCGCAATCGCCACAAAGCCCTTGATAAACCTTCGGTAGTCCGAGGCCAAGCTTAGAAAGGCGCGAACTTGCGTGATAGTCGTTGGCACGGGCGCATCTCTCACAGCTGCCACCTTTTGAGGTTCCGGTCCAAGTCCCTGGTCCGTCACCACGTGTCCCAGGAAGGAAATGGTGGTGAGAAAGAACTGGCATTTCTCTAGCGCCACCTTGAAACCAGCATCCCTCAATGCATGCAACGTCCATTCGACGTGCTGCACATGCCCCTCGTAAGAACTCGAATACACCAGAATATCATCCATATACACAATCACGCAATAGTTGATGATACTCTGTGCCAGACGTGTCTTCCGCACAAAGTTCTGAAAAGCCATGTTCATGGTTCGCTGAAAGGTTGCGGGAGCATTGCAAATGCCCATTGGACATCGAATCCATTGCCAAGTACCTTCGATCAACACAAACGCCATTTTCGGACGATCCTCCTCTCGAACAAGAAGGTGATGAAACCCATGACGAACATCAAACTTACAAAAAAATCGAGCACTCCCAACCGCATCCAACAACTCATCAATCCGGGGAAGGGGGTACATATCTTTGATCGTGATATCGTTCAGCTTTCGATAATCGATACATATGCGAATCCCTCCGGCCTTTTTGGGCACGATTACCACCGGAAACGACCAAGGTCCTATAGCGGGTTCAATCCATCCATTGGCTTCAAATTCCTTAATTCGCTGAAATGCGGCCGCCCGTTGGGCTGGCGAGTATTGATAAGGAACACAGCTAATGGTTGGATGATCCCCCGTAAGGATGGCACGCTCAATCATGTTACACAATCCGATATCGTTATCGTGCACACTTAATACTTCTAAGTACCCATTCTAGACATTAATTAGTAATTTTCGAAATTCCAGGGGGATGTGATTCGGTAGAGTGACTGTGAATCGATCGGGTATCTCAAGGGGCATGTCGATCCAATCATCAGGTTAATTCCGTTGGTCATGGACGCTAGAGAAAATACAACCGCTAGTGCATACAGAAAATACAGTCGCAATCATCTGGGATTCAGCAGGGCTAATCATCTCGGTCTCTTTAATTTCAACGCCAGTTTTCGAGTCAGCCATAGTTTCCTCCACGGTAAGTCCTGTTAAACCCACCATTTCCTACATTAGATCGGGCACATCGTCGACGGGAGTTTCGGCTTCTTGTTTTATCATAGCGATGGTCGCTCCTGTTGTAAGCAGCGACCTCGGAGGGGAAACAAAAACTTCCACGTATTGTTTCATCTGTTGATAGCGCGCTCGGAGCGAAAGTGTTCCCACGTACAAAGTGTGATGGGGTTCCAAATCGTCTACCACGTCAGATATTTGCAAGATGGGTTCCCCAAGAAAGGTCGAGCGACTGACCTGGGCTTCTATTGGCGCAAGAGTGTTATCTTCCAGACTCAAGTGAAAAGTTTGAGTGGTTCTGGGAACCATCCGAAATTCCTCTTGAGTTTCGTGCTCGAAAAGTTCGACTAAGTGTTTCCACTCACTCTCACTAGGCATCTCTTCTTTGCACTCCTATTCTTCAAATCTGCTACTATTATCCAGAGATGGAAATTCCTCGTGATCGGGACCTTGAATCATCCCTATCCGAGCAGAATTAGGAATCTTTTTTAATGTTCGGGTTGAAATCCGCAATGAAACTGTCTGAGGCTTTCCTCCTGTTTGCGTAAGCACCAACTGTTTGGAATCGAAATGCATGCGGGCACCTACCGCCATTGCCCAAGGCAGTCCCAACAAAACCGAATATGAGTGCACATCTATGACCAAGGCGTTAACGAGGACGTGCACTCGTCCAACTTTCACGACCACATTCTCAATGACTCCTACGATATTCAATGTTTCCTCGTCAGCAGAGACGTACTTGTCTTTGCCAGATTGAGGGAGGATCGAGTTAAGTCGCCCAGTTCTTTTCACCATATCTAATTATATAGCGACCGCGGAGGATCCGGTATCGATGAGGGCGTTAAACGGTTTGTCCCATACTTCACAATCACATTCAGCACTTTTCTACAACACTGCTCGAGCTCGCATGAAATGGTCTTTTCCAGCTAAAGAAATTGTAGCTACTCGCACGGCTTCGGGTTCATGAACCTCGGGTTCAGGCGGTTCAACCCCCTCTGCTTCTTCCTCCTTCTTTTTTTTCAACATTCGTTGTATGCGCTGATATGTAAATCGTTTCTGATTCTTCTGACATTGTTGCAGCAACTTGTTATTTGCATCTTCGGATATGGTGAGCAAATGTCCCACCGGGACCGGAACGCGAATGTCCAGTTGCTTAAGCGTTCACAGCATATCCATTTCTCCTGTCCGAAACTGTGGTCCGGGGTTAGATTCGCGCTCTACCCATTCAAGATCGTCATGAGCCGGTTGGATTGCTCCGACCATGACGGCGAGATGAAGATATTGAGCCGGGTCAACCACGTCAGCGACTTCGGAAGAAGAAGTCCCTGAGGTCGATGCAACTGCAATCGAGGGGGAAGGTCGCTCAGGAGCGTACACAATGATCTCCTCATTTCGGGTCGTATCCATTAGTGCAGCTACTCGTCCTTGATTCAGAGTTACGGGGGCTGCGGCAGGTGGGGGGTGATTTCGTTTTGGCTGGGGACAGTCCCGGACAAAATACCCTGGGCTGTTTGCAGTTGTAACGCTCAATCTTCCCTGCCAGGTTAGTTGCATGAGGGCACTATTGCGCATGTCCAGGTGCAGGCGGGGTAGGCAAAAGCGGGAACGATGCAGGGGCAGGTCGAGCAAGAGCCGGGTTGGGCTTAATTAGCCTGCTCATTATCTGTTCCATTCGATCCATGTGAGACGCCTGCATTTGGACCAGATTGCTTATCCATTCAGATTGTTTGGTAGTAGCTGTATGGATCATCTGTGCCAAATGCATATTGGTTATGGACATAGACTCGGGATCTCGGGTGCTTCTTGGGCTAACAGTCGCTACCGGTTGGTTCATAGAGAAAGTCGGAGGAGGAGGAGAAGGAACTGACGGGATATCAGAGGCGACCCCTTCGGGAAGGTTATGATCAGGCCGGGGATAGAATCGTTCAACCACTCGCAACCACGATCGTCGTTTCGCGGCTACATCCTGAATCGTGTTTGTAATGTCCTGGTCTCCCTGACTGATATACTTCTTTGTATCTGTCAGGTCTAACTCAAGCGCTTTGTCAATGATAGCGCGTAACTGGTTCGTTCTAGGGGGAACCTTTTTCTGCAGCTTAGCTTTTAGCATCGCATTTCGTAGATGATCGATGAACAAATCTCGGGCGGAGTTTTCATCTCGCCCTGATTTGTCCAGCGTGGTTTGGAATCGAATCAATCGATCCACGAAGTCAGACAACAATTCCCCTGGTTCTTGCGGTCGAGTTTTGAGTATATACCAAACAGCGTCTTCGCTGACCGTATTGAATCTGGCCAAAAACGCTCGCTTGAAGGTATTCCAATTTACCCATCTGTGTTCCTAAACCAATCATGCGCCGTGTTGCGAAGGAGTAAGGTGATGACGCGGGGGATATCTTCCGCGCTATACCCTTGAGCTTGGACGGCTTCCAACCAAGCTTCGTGGTGGGTGTGATTGGGAAAGAAAGGAAAAACGGTGGGAATACTGACAATCACCCTGGGGGGTGCTGCGTTGCTGTCAGCTATTGGCATAGCTGGTCTAGCCTCGTGGGATCTTGATCTAGTCACCCGGCGATCTCGGCGACCAGGTTGAGTATTTCTTCTACCTCTCGCCAGTTCGGCTTACTATCATTAGAACCGACACAAGTCGGCTCCGATACTAACCTCACGCCCTGTGCTGTCTTCCGTTCAGAGCGCTAAGGGTGCGGAAAGAGGGTCCGAAAGAACAGCAAGATGGGGTGTGCCAAGGATTTTTGGAAAATGGTGTGTGGGGACACAGACAGAACTGAAATCCCCCGTGTTGGTCCGATGAAGTAAGTCGGTTGCTTTCACTCGTCGCGGAATGCGCACGCGGGCACGACGCGAAAAAAGGAAAATCCAAATTCAATCCAAAAAGTATTGTCGAACTTCCCACCGCGCTACGGCTCTTCGTTTAGAGCAAAAGGGCTTTGGTACACTCCGCGTGTCCCGTTTCCGTATCAAGTCCCGACGTCGCTTGTTGGTCAGTTTCGAGTCCGACGTGGAGGGTCTCAGCCGCGTGGCTCTTTCCTTGTGCTCGTCTTCACTCCGTATTCGGTAGTGGAAGCCCTTTGATTCGTAGCGATCGAGACGCTGGCACTCAGTGCACAGGATTCGAGGCCAATGGGGCGCCACTGCCATCCACGGAATGACGACCAGCTTGTTAAACGACAACAACACTGAGTAAGCCGGGAAGTGCATATTGATAATGACAAAACCCGCCTCCACGAATCCGGAACAACGATTTTCGGGAGGGAAGTAATATTGTCCGCCGATCCGTGCGACAGCTTCTCGTAAGTCCCACTCGCAAACACGGGTCCTGTCCTCGTTATAAGGGAAGGGGCGCGTTGGCGTGGGGGACACGGGAGGTTGGTGCCCAATCGAGGTGCGGTCGTTAGTCCACATATCAATCAATTGAAATGAGTTTGCAAAAACCCCGAGACGTCATCAAAAGGCACGATCGAAGAAACCAACTATTTTCCTTCCTTTCAACGTGAGAGAAGCATGTTACAGAACTCGTACAACCTTGTCGAAATCGGGTCAAAGTTTCGAGGGACCAACCCACGATTCAGGTTCAGCAAGCCACATTGTCGTAAACCCGAGGCGCCTTGCTCTTTCGAGGCTGCCTCACAGACTGGCTGCGGATGTCGTGCAGTATAAGACATATGGTATGTGCAGTGCAATTCAGAACGACAGATCTAAACACTCTTGCATTCGGGAACAAGATCCCTTCGAGTTCTGGGTCTAATCAACGCAAAAATTCACATACAAGCATTTTTATGCATACATCCACTGTGGAAGGTGCGAAAATGACAATGGTGCACAAATCAGAAAGAAATCGGGGGATTGTACACATGCATCGACCGTTCACAAGGCAAGATGATTGATTTCCTTTGCATTCGGGGATTACCCAGGAAACTAATTGAAGAGTTCCGGAAGAGGTTCTTCTTCGCAGGAAATCACAAGGGTTCACTTCGGTTCACATCAGAGACAGACTCATAACACAGCGTCATTTAGAGCAGAGAGAGAAAGAGAAGAGATGGGTAAGAAGTGTCGAGACAGGAGACACTAGAATCCGACAAGGGAGCGTTCGGCTTCACAGCCATGAACTCACAGCCAAATAATGATCTGCAACCTTGAAGGCGCATTCGCCTTGAAATTCCAATATGGCCCTGGGCCAATCATCCACTCAACTCCAATTACCGATCCTCACACCCGCACCGACGATCCCGACCGTCGCGTGCTAACTTCCACCACTGCGATCGTCACCCCGCTGACGCAAGCTCGACTCGGCTCGCCCGGATCCCACAGTCCGTCGTGGCGATCAAGCGCGCAACCGGTCAGCCTACAGTCAGCCCGTCAAGACTTTTCGACTCGCAAAGAACACATCACCTAGCCATTGCTTCCCGGAAGCTGGCTTGGGAGTTGAAAACGTAAGAGAGATTTGCGGGCGCGCTTGCGGAATTTATAGTTGCGAGAAAGAAGACAGAGGGGGGAGAAGACAGAGGGGAAGCCGAGGTGTAAGAGGAGAAGATTCTCCAGAAGACCATGAGATTATGAGAGTCTCGCGGGGCTCGGGTAATAAGCAAAATATACCATCGCTTTCTCTTATGCTGTGTTGGATTTGAGTGCTCTTGGTTTTCCATCCTCTTAATCCTTTGTTCCGTCCCCGCGCCTCGCTCTTTTGAATACGTACTCCTACACACTTTGTTCCTACAGGACCTCGTGATCTACTGGATTGGGAAAAGTTGCGAAACCTCGCCGGGACGAAACCATTGTATTCATTTTCCCCCGACAGGGGCAATAAGTGCCGCAGGCCCCGCAAAATAACTTTTCCTGTCAATTTTGCACCCTGTTAAACAGTTTCCCCCCGTTTTTGCCTAGCGGGTGTTACCGGCTTAGCCAAGGTGCAAAAATGACGTGAACAGTCATTTTGGGGCCTGCGACAGTTTTTGCACCGTTTCGGGGGAAATGAATACAACGGTTTTTCACTGGGAGGTTTAAATTATTAACTCTTCCCTACTGGACTAACTAGGAGGAGGATGGCCGGGACTGACATTCTGCCAGGCCCGGAAATAAATTATGGGTAGTAGTGAAACAGGCTTGCCGGGAAAAGAAAGAAAAGCAATCGCAATAACACCATGAGGCTGGCGGCCGCGTCCGTTGGCGGTACCTTAGTGCGCTAATATGCGCTAAGGCGGCGCTAACGCAGGGGAGGTAATGATGTGATCTGAAGTACCGAGGTTCACACCTCGGGAGTTAGCTGCCAGAAGCCGCCGATGCGAGAGCTATGGATTAGTTGAGTGGGAATCCTTTGTAGTAACTCTGCTTCCGCGTGGTATGTTCAGTACTATGTTTCCCCTTGAGAAGATCCTGGGGCAGGAAGATGCTGTCAGCCGGGGAAGACTGCCAGGAGCTCAGAAGATGGAATGGTTTCCTTGGCAGGGCGTGCCCACGCAAGATTGGGCTCTTTTGCATGACAGTTAACAGCAGCGCCAGCGGGAGCAGTGGGAGAGCTCGCGACCGTGGTGGGAGTGCTGTTGACATTACCAAGGAGACATCCTCCTATACTTTGCTTCAAGCCATATTTTACATGTTTCTAATCACCTTTTGGGCTAGATCTCTCTAGTTAGCCTCACATGTTTCGATGGGTTCCTGGATTGAATGGAAATTTTACGTTGTAGAGGTTCATTCTATATTGATTTTTAATATGCTGCACGATGAAGCACGTAGCGCGAATTTTAGGCCAGATTCAATTGCTGGTTTTCTGTTCCTGGCTGTAAATTTAGGCTTGATTCACTTTAGTTATTCTAATTGTGAGCTGTCTTGCATCTTATATTTAGTTTGAGATGGATCACACTTTTGCTGTAAGATCACACTCTCTAAATTCTGCATCTAAGCACGGTTCAAGGGTAGATGTACTCAATTTCACCGCACACTGAAAGGGTTGGTAATTGTCGACTAAAATGAGGTAATAGTGCGTTGCGTGTCATTTGAATTCAAACTGCTTGGAATTTCTGTCATCACGTAGGCATTGAGTTTCGAGTCTCAGTACCGACGAGTGCCACATCAGGGCCTCTATCCCCTATCAATTTGCATTGTCACATTCTTCATCATGGGGCAAGTTGTGGATTAACTGGCGTGTAGAAGTGATTTGTAACTTGTTTTTGTCAGTGCCTTGTGGACATGGCCTCGACGCTTTCTCTTCTGAAACTATAGTTCCCGATAATTTGGAGTTTTTTGCTGGTATGGCGCCAGCCGTGATCTGTCGGCAATGGCCCTCTTTGTTAAGTCTGTTCGGTATATCTATTTTGACAGTCCTCCCTGTTTGCATAAATCACGTTGTCGTTACTGAGTTTCCAAAATTCTGCTCTGTTTCCAAAATTCTGCTCTTAGGTAATCTACTTTGCGGGGGTTGCCCTCCCGTGGTACTTTTCCCACAGTGTCCTATGGGGAAGGTGAAGGCTGTTCAATTGTCTCTGGCGTAGTCGTGTATTAGAGTGGGTATGAACTCCGGTTTGTCTGGTGCGTTTCCGGGTTTTGAATGGTTAATGAAGAACCGAGAAGGCTACTCAATTTAGTTTAGCACACTCGAAGAGGGGTTTGAATTGTCTTGTCCGGTGCGTTTCGGGGTTTTGAATGGCAGTATGGTGGTTTTGCTGTTGGCCAGAATAAGTTTGTGAAGTAGACGTGTCTGCACAATTTTGCAGCCTGCAGGGCAGGGCTGTCAGAGTTCAGTCTGTGGTAGGCAAGTCAGCAATCATGATATAAACCGTGCGAACTAACTTCCATCGAGATCTCCGCTGAGCTGCCCAAGCTTACACGATCACGCAACTGTTTCTGGTCGCAGTCTGCACACAGATCTGTCGTGCGTGTTTTCACCGCGAACGTTTCGGCCATTAGTTTGGAATTGCTGAACCTTCGGATTGAAATTACTTCGGGGGAATGCCGCTGTCCAGAAAGGAGGCCTCATTCGTGGAACCTTAACTGTGGGTTCATGATTTTGGTTGGGAAAGATGGAAGGTTGGGGGTTGGTCGTTGAAGGCAACGGAGCTATTGGAGGTGGTGGGAGACCTACTAGTAGCGGTGGGAACGTTGCTGTCCTACTAGGGCACGACTGAATAGCACTTAGCAGTCAAGAGAGTAAAGCTGGGTTCTACCCATTGAGATCAAGAGTGCCTGGAAGATGGCAGTTCCTACAGAGGTCCAAGGGTGCAAGGTGGGAAACCTCGTCATGGCAACCCAGACTCCCCATGGCTGCTTGAAGCTATTGTACTAGGCTAGTATTGAATTTGCTCAGTCTCGCTTTCCCTGCATGCATGGCTCGTGTTCGGAGGAAGGAGGCTTCATGTTTATTCCTTTTCTGGAACTTTCTAGTTTCCTCTCTAGCTTAGAATTTGTTATCTATCTTTGTTCATTCGAGTATATGACTACTATAATTTCAAAGAAGCGGCGTCTATGTTTTCGGGAAATGATATAGGATCGTGACTAGATCGGTGTCAGATCTTCTTTAGATTTGTGTTCTGTCAGGTCTTGACATAGGCCTAGACTCCGTATGTATGGGATTTTAACCTCCCAACAGTAGGGAGCCTTGGTGATAAATACCCGACCCAAACCCATATTGTTCGACCTTGAGAAGGTCAGGGACTGGTTTTGTAGACGCAAACTGGTTGTGGAAATGATAAGATGAGCTAGCTTGTATCTGGTAGCTCAACTTTTTTTGACTTGTGCTTCAAGGTGCATTTTGGAAAGTTGGGTTTTGAATGGGACGCTTGTGACAAATCACTTCCCGACCCCGTGCTATCTTTCATACCCCTTGACTCAATTCCCTCTTTTGTATCATAATGCCCCAACAAAACCCCCGTCGCTTTTCTTGATTTCAGGTGCCTTGTTCAGGCCCCCATTTTTTCGGAGGTTCTATTGATTCTTGAAATTCTGCTTTTTGTAATTCGGGAAATGCATGGGAAATTGCCTGCGTCTTAGCGAGCGCACTAGGAATCGGGCTCGACAGTTAGGAATTTCGGAATAAGCGGAACCCGACGTGTCCTTTTTTTGTGCATGAATGCTCTCGGTCACGTCAGAGAAAACTCTAGGAATTTTGTGAGAATACGGATAGGCATAGGACTTCCTTTCCCTGCGTCGACTTTTGCGCGCGGATATGGTGATTTCAATTTTTGAATTAGTTTAGGACGCAGGCAAGCTGTAACTGTTTTGGTGCCTTTTTCTCTTGTTGTCGGCGCCGCGTATGCGAGCTTCCTCCTCCTTATTTCCCGCGTCGTTCTTCCCCCGTGCTCTCTTTTCTCTCCCTTCCACCTCCTCTTCTTCTCCTATCACAACTGTTTTCCCTCTTTCTACTCTTTGCACGCCTGTTTTTCCTTTCTTGATCATCTGAATCTTGGACCCGTCTCGCGCTGCTTCTCGCGCCTCTTTCCTTCTCGCTCTTCAACCTTGGTTCGCGAAGCCCGGTTGATCCTTCGATTACCCCCGCTCACCAATCAGACGCGTTGAGTAAGAGGATCTAGGCCTGGCAAGTGAATGACAGAATCGGAGGGACAACAACAAGGCCACACGAAGGAGGGCCGATACAAGTCATTCACCAGAACATAAGACACCAAGCTAAAACAGGAAAGAAAACGGTCTTGGCGCATTTGGCCCTGAGATCGGGATATGAGGGAGACAAGTTTGACGACAGCCATCGCGGCGCACATTGAAGCATTTCAACGAAATCCAAAGCGATTGATGTTCTCGACTCTTTACACATTGAATGACAAAAATCTCAACTCCATTCTCTTTATAAAGCCATTTGTATCGCACAGCCAGACGTTCAGATTCCATCACACAGCCAAGGGCATCCTAGATAGTGACTCAAATTTTTGGCATCGGAGATGATCGGACTCGTGGTGAGAGAGAGAGAGAGAGAGAGAGAGAGAGAGAGAGAGAGAGAGAGAGAGAGAGAGAGAGAGAGATGGACAGATGGATACGTAAATCCGATGGAATAGTAGATACACAGATGGTCTGATTGATCTATAGATCGATAGATCTTCTTGGGGGGGAAAGGGGGGGGACCGGAGGGATGGGAGAGAGAGAGAGAGAGAGAGAGAGAGAGAGAGAGAGAGAGAGAGAGAGAGAGGGGAGCTCCTGACAGGAATGACGTCTTTCGTCAATCCTAAAAGCCAATATTCAGCATAGTCTGCAGTCTCGAGAGAGAGCCTACATGACTAGTTTCCAACAGAGCCTACATGACTAGTTTCCAACAGAATCATGATGGACGCTATTGACAAGAATTGCTGGTGTGCAGAAGTCGCGTACGCGCTAGCAAACTCCCGACAACGCTCAATCGCTGGCCTTAGCATTTCTTCCAGTTGACGGCGAAAATTTGAGTGAGCTGGAGATCCGTACTGTCCGCGGTGATAATTCCAGTCTTCGGAGGCTTTCCCGGATTCACCCGCACTTCTGTAACGATGTTGAGGTTCCTCACTCTTCCACACTCGCTGCTAACGGCGTTCGCGAAACTCGCCGTTTTCTCGAAGTTATCGTCAAACGGTCCAAAGAAGTTGTACGTAGCCTGACCCGTGCCTATACGACCAGATATGTGGTAGCCAACCCTCACGGCCGCCTTGACCTTGGCGTCCAGCTTCGCGTACCCACGCATTGTGACTGTCCCGAGAGTGTAGAAATAGCCAGGWGGATAATTAAGAATGAYGCTCAGGGTGCATTSCTTCCTCGTGTTAAGGAGCCCTTGGTCCGTCGTAGCAGTGTAGCTGCTGTACATGACAGTGAGCGCCTGYMCGTCGTTTGAGATGGAGKAMKCAACAGWTCCGCTCGRACAGCCAKYRCCWKCAWAAGTMAMAYCATMAATYGTAACGGTTCCAGGCGCCGGAGCTTGAGCGTATCCGTGCACGGCCAACTCGAGGATGGTGAGSAGCAACAGCGTTGCCATTGCCGCCATGGGAGAGAACGACCGGAACCCTTTCTGCATCGTCACTGTCGCCGTCTTCTTCTTCCGGCCGCTGCGCTCTTCACGAAGTTGAAGACGAATCGAGGACAGCGATTGCTACCAGTAGGATGCTAACGAGCACACAACGCGTTTGGAAATCTATGGCCGCTCCTCTGCGCTGCGTCCAGGAAAGGAAAGACTTAGCGCCTGAGCGTCAACCCCTCCGCTCGCCTCCACGCAAAACGCCGAACGGCGGTGCTCCTACTCTCTACTCTACGTACACACGGCAACGGAATCAGCCAACAACGCCTCGATCACCGGTGGAGCGCAATGCCATGCTTGTGATCGTAGTGGAAGTGTGATGTGCTCTTTTATACAGAAGACTCCTCACGTTGTTGGGTCCCCGCGGACTCTAAGCTCACTCCTGATGTTGCACAGTCCCAGTGCCGAAGGATAGCACAGGAATCTTCCCCAACGGCAAGCTAGCTAAGCCCCGTCGGTGCCCCGAGTATGTTCCCGAAGTGTCTCCAATGTGTCCCGAAGGGTACCGAATTTGTTCCACACGCGGGGGGGACCAAAGACGTGTTGATTTGCCTTGCGGGTCGGCAGCCCACTTTCTCAAGACGCGGGCGTGCTAACTCGGCACGCCCACTCTCTCCAGAAGACGGCGACCGATTTCCAAGTATTGAGGGGCAGTTGTTCATTTGCCTTGCTCGTCTGAAGTAGCACACAGGCTGAGGTCGGGGCAATTGTGTGACGACTAGGCACACCCACTTTCTCCACAAGAGGGCCTGCGGATGGGTAAGACAGATTCTTACAAACATCGAGGTTATTAGAATGAATAAGGCCAGTTGAGCGTGATAAGAAAGAAATTCCAATAAGGGCGAGGCTGGGTTGAGAAGCACCTCAGGGCATACTCACACGAGGACCTAAACACAGTTGTGGTCGGTCGGGATTTTTCATGAAGAGCATGGTCGCTTTCGGGGTTTTCGTTACAACTATTTTCGTGTCACTTGGACTTTTCTTCCTCTTCCGTCCCTGCTCTCCTTTCTTCCCTCTTGTCTCTGCTATTTTCTATTTCCTCTTCCGTCTTCTTGCTCTTTCCATTGGTTGTTGTCTGGTCGGGAAAGATCTGTGTTACGAAGTCCCACTTGACCGGATTCTTCATTTCTGCAGTTGACGAAAAATCGACAGACCTGGTCGGGAATGACTTGACCCAAGAGCCTACCTCAGTGGGTACACCCATGAACTGTTGAAATACAGACGTGTGTTCGAATCCAGATGATGGAACTTGACAAGTAAAACCAACTACTAATGAATTGCTTGGGGCGGTCAGCTCAATGATGATATCTCAAGGCCTTCGTCCTTTCTGAAAAAAAAAAAAAAAAAAAAAAAATTGACAGACCGACTTCAAAAAGCAAACATCAGCAGCAGCATCACTTCCGCAACAGAGGAGAGTAAGTGGGACTTGGCCCTTTCATGATCTATGGTCCGGAATGGAGGATCCGGGTAAGTGGGAATTGGCCCCCGATGTGACCGGGAATCTACCTCGAAAGGCCACTTCCAGAGGTTTTCTTTCTTCAATTGTCCTTAGCCAAGGCCGGGTGATAGCCCCGGCAGTTCATGTTTTCTGTATTCGCAAAAGGGACGCTGGGCCCGGTTCCCAGGAGCCGGGAAGCACTAGCATAGCTTAAAACGGTGTGTGCCGTGTTGCACCTAACAAAAAAAAAGGGAACCAAAAAAAAAAAAAAAAAAGAAAAAGAAAAAGGAACCAAAAACGATGACGAAGAAAGGACAGAATCTGACAGATTTACGATCAGGCTTTCGTATTTTATTTGCACTTTTCTGCCGTCCTGAACGTATCTGACGGACGGGCGGACCTGGAGGTATGTGCCTGCATTTCCATCCACAAAAAAAGTAAAAAGGTCCTAGTGTGAGTATGCTCCAAAGCAAAATCACATGACAAGTGTCACCAAGAGGGGCAGTCGGGTTATCTTCCTCGACAAGAGCACATGCACAGGTCTTGTTCAAATAAAAGGAAAAAAGCCATACCGTAGATGTTGTTGGCCTGTAAAGGAGAGTCCTGGAGTTGGGGGCCGCAGGCCCACACACCGTGGGAAATCAGGGGCGGGTGGGGCTGCTTCGCCAAAATTGGCGAAGGAGAAAATGACTCTCCTCAGACCGGCTGATGAGATGACCTGTGTGCCTGCAGATTCGTGTATGCTCTGAGCGCTGCTGGAGGTCGAACAGCGGAAGGGGGATCGCAGGAACTCCAGCAGGTCCAGCAAGTTCAGCAACCTGCCTCTACTGCTGCGCTGCATGTGACTTATACCGTCGCTGGTAGTGGAAGTAGCGCTGTGCGGACCGGAGATATCCAAATGCACCCCGGGTGAGTACCGAGGCCCATCTCCCCGAAGTGATGTGACCCTAGGTCCCGACTGTTGTGGCTGACTTCGAAGCTGTCCCACCCAAACCTTGGTCCTTGCTCCTGCCCAGATGACCCTTGACCATCTGCATCCCAATTTCTGTGCGGATCCTTACTTGGTCCTTGCCTATGTCCAGATGGTTCTTGACTCAATTGCTAGAACCACAATCTGTTGCTTGCGAGCCGAAGATATCCGAGATCCAGGGTCGTGAAGAAACTGTGCAACTGAGTTTTGTTGGTGCGTGCTAATGCTGACTGAGATTTGAAAAGCCAACTGTGGTAGTTGTAGGACAATTGCTGCACAGGTCTTCTCCAAATAAAAAGGAAAAAAGGCATACCGTAGATGTTGCTGGTCTGTAAAGGAGAGTCCTGGAGTTGGGGGCCGCAGGCCCACACACCTCCTGACCACCCCATCTCCCCCCATCGTCCTGCAAGTGACTGTGTCATCTTGCAGGGAATGGTGGAACGAGTGCATGAGCGATGGAAGTTGGCGGCAGAAGAGGAGCCCACCTCAGCACGAAGGAGATTACGAGAGTGGATTAGAGTGGTGCAGTAATGTCATTGATGAGTTTGGATGTGGGAGGTGATGGCCGAACGGGATGCGGAAGTTGCTGTTGGGATTGAATGAGTGTGTGATGAACCAGCTTCCAGACCTGCGCCATCCTCCGGACCCCTTCCCTTTCCATATTTTCTCTGCATCTATCGGCCCCCGAGAACCCCCCCCCCCCCTTCCGCCCTCTGTTTTTGTTCGATTAAAGGTACTTCGTTGAAAATCTGTATAGAAGTTCTTGAAATTCTGTCATTTCTTTTAATTTGAAAATGCTTGGAAATTTTGCGCGCCTTAACGAGCGCGCTCGGAATTTGGCTCAACAGTTAGGAATTCCGGAATTAACGGAAGACGGCACGACCTTTCGCGCGCGACACTGGGAATTTTGTAGGAATACGGGCAAGCGTAGGACTTTCTTTCTTTCCCGCACCTACTTCGCGCGCGGATATGATACTTTCAATTTTTGAATTAGCATAGGATTGGGAAAAACTGCAACTGCTTCGGTGCCCATTCTCCTTTTGCCGTTCGGCACCATGCAAGCAAGTTCCCTCCTCCTTCCTCCCTACGCCCCTCTCAAACGCCTCCCTTCGCGTGCACATGCTTCCTTGCTCCCTCCCATTGTAACTGTTTTTCCCTCTCCTTCCCAGCGCGCGCCCTTTTTCTCTTTCTTGATCATCTGAATCTTGGACCTGTTTCGCGCTATCCTTCGCACTCCTCTTCTTCCCGCTCTAAGATCCGCGCTCGAAAAACCAGTTGATCCTCTCTCCCCATCCTGCCAAGGAGAAGCGTCGTGTCAAGTTCTTACTGCGCGACGATTCTGATTGGCTGAGATCAAGTTGAGAAGGATCAACATGGCTTTCGACGGACGATCACTCTCAAACCCTCCCTTACCCTCCTCTACCTCACTTTTCGTCTTTCCCCGCATCCCTCTCCCTTCTCGCAACTATAAATTCCGTCGACGCACCCCGAAATCGCTCCAGCTTTCGGGAAGTAGTGGCTAGATGATGTGTCTAATCCGAGTCGGAAAGTCCTGACGAGCCGACTGTAGGCTGGCTGGCTGTGCGTGAGATCGCCACGATGGACTGTGGGATCCTGGCAAGCCACATCGAGGCTAGAGTGGCGGGGTGACGATCGCAGTATTGGATGGTGACACACGACGGTCGTCGGTCGGGATCGTCGGTGCACGAATGAAGACGAGTGATTTGAGTTGAGTGGATGATTGGCTGGGGGCCATGCTGGAATTTGGCGGCGAGTACGCCCCCTTGTTGCGAATCCATTCTTTGGTGTGAGCTCACGGCGGTAAAGTTGGACCCTCTTTTGCATTCCCAATGCGACCTCTCCCTCCTGGTGTGATATTCTCGCTTGTCTCTCTCTCTCTCTCTCTCTCTCTCTCTCTCTCTCTCTCTCTCTCTCTCTCTCTCTCTCTCTCTCTCTCTCTCTCTCTCTCTCTCTCCTTCTCTCCTTCCCTTCTCTCGCTGATGTAAATAATCATGTATGGGAGTTGATTTTTCAGGTTGTAAGGGAATAAGCACTTGTGAAGGTATGCTTAGGAGAACTTCTTCTGGAACTCTTCCATTAGTTTACTGGGTAATCCCTGGGCTTGCTGAGATTTGATCACCTTGTCTTGTGAACGGTGGATGCGCATGTAACAGCCATCAAAAGGGATTGTGATTACTCGCTTTTGCACAATATGGTAGGAACATTACCTGGTGGCCTCCTTTCGCACCTTCCACAGTGAATGCATGCACACGGACACGAAACTCGTCTTGATTAGGACGCTATCCAACGAGTCGATGACAGAGGCAATGTTGTTGGGATTTTGTTCGAGGATGCAAGAATGTTTAGATCTGTTGCGGCTGTGATTCTGGGAACAATGCACATGCCATCGGCCTTATACTGCGCAACATATGCAACATACCCTCATAGAATAATGAGGGACTTCAAGGCCACGTGCGATCAGTACATGTGAACAGTGGTCACCCCTCACCATACACGAGTCTTCGTCTCTCCCTCTCTCTCTCTGAACTTTCCCTTCCTTCTTCGATTTTTCTTTTGGAATTTTGGCGTTGTTCCCCTGGATTGATCGATAGGTTGTGTATTCCTTGATTTATGATGAATGATTGAAGATATCTTTGGCGTTTGATTGATGGCCATGTGGACTGACGGGCTCAACCCGACTAGGCGCCGGTCTCCCGTATCCCCACCCCGCCCCTTCCCGTATAACGAGGGAAGAACACGAGTGTGTGA